TAATATCAGATCATTTAATTTTTAACCATCAACCAAAATGTAATATAACGACAAGTATGAAGTCGATAGCAATACGATACTTACAGATGTTGTCGCCATAGCACATATTTCATTGTTGATATCAGTTTTAGATAACATGAATCATTTTTCAATGATCTGTTTAGATTTAAGAAATTAATTTATGTAAAAGCTTTAATCGTAGGAAGACACATACTTGGGTAATTACGAAATTCACAGCACGACAAAACTATGTTTAGATCAAGATGGAATTAATTTCTAATAAAATAACTCAATCCTAACAAAAAAATAATGAAATAACGACGTCGCTGGAATTGTAGAATTTTCCAACAGTTGACAGTTCTTACCAATGAATCACTAATAAATTGTTGGACTTTAGTCATTACTTTCTAACGTTTTTGCGTGTTATTGGTTCTTAGTTATTTTAATGCACCACAAAATACGGATTTGATTATTATCGAAAAATATAAATGGAAGGTGACCGGTCACTGACACTAGCAGATACTTATTAGATAAAAGTGAGAAAAACTTCTTTTACTTATACGTAAAGATGGTGCGCATAAAAATGGTTAGTTTAAAATTACTAACATTCTATGGAAATTAAAAAAAATAGTGGTATGTTTTATTATTGGACATAAAATTTCGTCAAATACCCGCCAATTCCATAACTAGTCCAAATAGGTAATTATTAACATGTTCTATTGTGTTTTTTATAATTATGATTGAGGTATTTTCATCTGGGTTTGTCGAAATCATTGTTTTACTGAATTTCTTTCCATGACTATTTTTCCAGTTTCATTCTTTAATTCTTCGAACAGCAATTTTAGATATAGTTATGTATCTGCTATTAGAATAACTCAGCTATTTATTTCAAGACATAATTCCTTCAAAGCAGTTTCTTGACCGCATCCTGCAACGACTGATAGAAAAGTTAAGATATATCTGTAAATGTTCTCTATAAGATCTCATAGAATATTGTGATTATTTTTTAAGATATTTTACATTGTCTAGTTTTCTGCACAATCAATTGTTTTTTTTTTCTTCGAATTCAACAAGCGCTATTAATAGTAATATATAGATATAAATAAATCATCCTTCCATAATTAAGACTAAATACTAAAGCAAAAGTGGTAAAAATATTAGGCAAGTGGAGTATGTCTGATGTGAAATTTGTACAAAAATAGATTTCTAGGTAAAAAATTACCTTTCTAAAAAAAGTTTCTAGGTATATAAAAATTAAAGAAACAAAAATGAATAGATAATTAATATTTATGGTGATGTAGATATATTATCCAGTACATTATACAATACTTAAGGTATCCACTACACACATTAGTAGATTAACTTAACTTACGTTAGTGACGATTTGCACATAAAAATGTTATAAAAGAATGACATAATGCTAAATTTAAGACAGCACCATTCTTATGTTAATACTTTACAGATATATTTTCAGTCAACTTGTAATTTGGCAAACCCGTAGTTAGTATGTTAAATAAGAACATCCATAATTTTGCTATTGTCAATGTTTTATTTGATATCAAAGTCTTAACTACAATCCAGACTTAGGCAATATCGGTTACGCATTAGTATGCATTCAGAACCATCCTAGAATTATCTACAAATAATAAAATCTTTAAAACATCATAGATAATAATATCATAATAATAAGAGAACATGGGAGATACTCCAGCATATCAAGTCATCTAGGGCTCGATAACACGAAAAGAGTCCCTTCTTCTTCTTCTTCAAGTTCCACTCCTATCGGAGATTGGAAATCATTCTGGCAATTATTTATTAATTAAAAGAGTCCCACCAGAGCTTAATCCTTTTGATACCGTAGGTATCTGGGATGAATGAATTTTCCCCTTAGAGGGAGTGTGAGCCGTATGGCTAAATCTGGAGAGAACATGGAAAGATGTTCCCTGAAACAGAAGGTTCACTACTGGCCATTCAGGATCAGGTTATACCAACCAAAAATTACCTGAAATATATCTATATAATAAACTTACTAGACAGATATTATCACATGTGGCGATACCTAACAATAATAATCTGCGTGTTAAATACAACGAAAAAATCGCCATGTACAGAGATCTGGAAATACAAAGGAGACAATGGAAAGTACTTAAACGATACCTGTTATTCTCTCTACTACTGGAGTTATTCCGAAGAGCCTCTTAGAGAACATAACACAGTTTGGTCTTAATGAACATCTCTATAAGACCATGCAGAAAGCAGTACTACTCTCAACATTTAGATGCATAAGAAAATTTTTGGGAGATACTCCGACGTAGGTACTAAGTCACCTAGGGCTCGATAATATGGAAAGAGTCGGTGAACCGACAATTCCCTGAGCTACACAAAAAAGTCATGTATTGTATTCAACTCCTCAATTAATCATTACTACTAAAAAATTACCCTGATTGCATAACCTGAAATTTGACAGATCTAGGCTTTAAAGAACTTATTAGAACAATAGAAGACAGAGAAAAATTTGTCGCCACATCTTAAGATTAAATTTTGTTAATTTCGAAAAAATATATTTAAAACAAATTGAAATTTGGAAAGAATAATATGTATGATTTACAAAAAACAATTTTCAAAAAGAGAGATCATTATATACTTCCTAGATAGCACTGGATGTTTGACATAAGTGCAAGGGTTTATCGCTATGGGTAGTTAGAAGTGTTGAAGATAGTATATAAAGCCATCCGATTTCGTTAAAGTGTACTGCGGTACGATTAGTTCTCGAAATGCCGCGTAACTTGCAGTAACCATACACTTGTGTTTTGAAATTCTTGTAACGTGAAAAAAAACAAATGTTTTCATTTATTGATATCCAATAGTTTGTAATTTGCCTTTTTTTTTGCTGATATTTTCTTTTTTCTTCTATTAAATAAAGTTAACATTTATCTGGAATTCTCCACAGATGTATTCACTTTGCAGTTCATATATAGTTAAAAAATATTCTCTTTTAGCACAACAAGGTAAGCGGTCCGGTGCAACGCTTCTATCGCTGAATATTATACTTAGTAAGATGAGCGGAAAGTGTATTACAAAAATTTGTTAACAAGAAATAGAGATAAATTTCACAATATGAACTACTGAAAAAATCAAGAACTCATTGAAACAATCGAAAAATAACAAGACGTGGAATTATACCTCTCGAACTTCTAAAATACGCACCTGATATTATGTAGTACTATAAAACTACACTAAAATGTTTAATAAATGTAGAGAGGAACAAGAGATTCCATTGTATTGCAAAATTGGCCGTATTGGGGCTATATACAATAAATGAAACAATTATCGATGTCACAACGTTACAGATTACATAGATAGACTATGCAGCGTTATAAAAAGCAAAATAGAAAATCAGTTTAAAGAAGTTTGTTATACAAAAGAACTGTACATATATGTCCTAAAAGTGGAATTAAAAGAAAATATTATATTTAAATAAATGATACTAAGTAATTCCCCTAATTATGAATAGCGGTCTTGGTTAATCCGAACATAGTTCTGACTGACAATTAACTTGGATGTCCAACTTCAGATAGGTGTCAAAATAAAGAAGAGTTCAAGATTATCTTTGAACACGTTCCTGATGGTTTCTTTTTATATATTCGTTCTGTATGTATGATAGTTATCCATCTTTAAGAATTACAACATTTAAAGATAACAGCAGTTTGTTAAGTTCCAAACAAAGCGGCAGTAAAATCCTATATAAGAAACATGTGTAAATTGAAAAGTCCAACTTTTATCACGTTTTTTGTTCATCATTTAAAATGTATTACCCTGTAATTATTTCTTCAATTACATAAACTAATATAATTGAGCATTTTGAATGTTTCAAATCAAATACATGTTAATAAAATATATCAATATATTATACAGCCAAGATTTTGGTTGTAGATATTACTTTCTGGGATTAACGTAAGTAGTATTTTTAAAATATATTCCAAAATCCAAAATCATCAATCCCATGGAGTTCGGAGTAATTTAATAAAATTAATGGGTAATTTACATACTAAAAACTTCAATATCACCGATAGTTTTTTCATTCTTACACAAAAAGAAAAACGAAATTTAGTACACTTCTAAAATATCAAACCGAACGTCTATAGTTTAATAGTCCAAGGGCAAACCCACATTAAATATGTACAAACTAGCAAGGAAAGAGCTATTAAATTTGTCTGTAATAGCTCTACTAATGTTTTCAAGATTTAATTAGTAAAGACACACATTGACAACATGTTACTTTTTCGTATTTGGAAATAGAGCATTTTTATTAGTAATTTTTTTAGTAAAAACTTTTAGTACGCAACTGGATTCAGAGTGTCCCCCAAAAAGCTAACTATATTTATTAATAACTAAGTTACCATAATTTAACGCTTGGAAAACAAGAAAGCAACAAGCATCTACTTCTGAACAAACTACATATAAAATGTTTATTATAATTTTCCAGGTCTACTGTAGTATGGAGAAATAAAGGGAAATGAGAAATCTTCATTCATGATTGATTATGAAAGTACGAGTTAACTTTCATTAGACTCGTGTCACATATTATTTCGCTAATTCTACTGACAATATTAATTTGAGTTCTTTTAACATTTTTTTTTGTATAGCAGCAAAATTAATTTTGGGCGAAAAATCGACATTAGACCTTTTCTGAGAGACACCAGAGAGATTTTTACAGAATTTGATAAAAAAATTCGAATAGTCGTCTCGTATATATGTACGTACCATTATTGTACACTGAATACCATACAATATTTGATAAATTTGCTGTTTTAAGTGCAAATGAGATGATATCATCAAAATGTTGTCCCTATTAGGTAGCAGATAATCCAAATGGACAATATATGTCTGGAAAGATATATATGTCTCAAATAATCAACATATGACATAAATAATCAATATATGTCTCAAATAATCAACTACTAGTGTATGATATTGAACGAGCAAATGACTGTCCATTTGTTTTTTGAGGAAACCTTTGATACAAACAAACAACTACCTTGTCATTTCATCACCTTTAATCAGTGCTGTCAGAAAATGGCTTCCGTATTCGGATGCTTAGCACACAAATAATTTACAAAACCAAGAGACATAAACACACTTTGTTTAAGAATGGCATGCGTAAAAATTACTCCACAACAAGTAAGACATTTGGAAATATTTTTGCAAGTGCTGTGACGTAAGATTTATCAAACTAGACGGTATATTAATAGAGGAAACTAGGTTAGGTTAGGTGTCTTCAACCCTCATCCCGTACATTGTTGTTTATTATTTCTATAATCTACTACATATTTTGAAAGTAACATTTCTACTATAGTCAACCTTGGGCACTTAATCATATGAGTAATTATTATATGAGACACGTATTACTGTACTTCCATGTTTGTACATAGAGATGTTGTTTAAAGAGATTTCAAATATTAGATGGAAAGATACATTCACTCGTATTCATATTTCATATATCGACAAGGGCACCTTCGCTTCAGAAACAAGGACCGATTCGACGCGTATAACGGCATTTGAAATGTGGGTCTACTGTAGAATATTGCGCGCATACCATGTACCGCACATCGCACAAATATTTTAATACTAAAAGAACTATCTTAACATAAGAACTATCACAAAACTATGAACCAAAATACACTAAGATATTTTGGACTAGAAGAAGAGGAGGCATGGAATGAATGATAGTTGAAGGCAAACTAGCGGCCAAAAGAAAAACGGACATGTCTGGTTACTCATTATTGGAGAGATAATTTTACAGAAATAGTCAAACGAACACACAAAAATAAGGCTGGTAAGGGCGCTCATTTTTCCCATAGCCACACATATGCATACGAAACGTAGACCTTAAAGAAAGTGGATAAAAATATAATGGACGTCTTTGAAATGTGGGTATGCCGCCGCATGTTGAGAATTTCCTGGATTGATCATCGCACTAACATATTTGAAGTATTTTGGACATATTGCTATAAGAACAGGTACGATGGAAAAACTGATAGTCGAGGGTAGAGTTGAAGGAAAGAGACCTAGGGGAAGATCTCCAAGTCGTTGGGTAAATCAAACAAAAATATTGATTAACCAAGGGTTACATGAAGCCGAACAACTAGCCCAGGACAGAGAAGGATGGAGGAGAATTGTGGAAAAACTGTAAAGGCCTGATGGTGTCAACACATCCCAAAAGGGATTAGGACTGAGGAGGATACAAGTGCTGTAATACTGTGTACTGATCTCAATTATATTAAAATGATCAAACAAGTGTGATATATTGAGCAATGTACTGAGTTGTAAAAAAAAAATTGTTTTTAAAATAATAAACCATTATATAGGAACAACATGTGATGTGAATTGAAATTGAGTACAAACCAATAAAGCAGGTCACACAATTTGTATATCTCGGTTATTGGATACAGAATCTGTATCTAGAAATAAATAGATTAGAAGTAAATTAACAACGATAAGGTCAATAAAGTCATCCCTTCTTTTATTTTCCAATTTTGCTTAAACTATATATACACATAATTGGGAAAATCTAGTACGATTTAATTATTTATTTTACTAATGGTATTATATTTTTAAAAGGCTCATCAAATTCCAAAAAAAGGACAGACAAGATACTTTGTAGCTGGCAAGACTCTCACCAACAGAGGAAGCGAAAGTATCAGATACATAAACACAACCAAAAAGAAGGAAAAATGGAGAGGCTCGGGATAAATCAGCAGCAGAGCATCGAAATATAGACCATCTTCGAAAGAGTTATAGTGAGCAAAGAGAGGTCACGTATATGAACATAAAACAGATAATTTACCTGAAATTAGGAAAAAAAACTGTACATATTATATTTACATATTTTAGGTTATTTCAGTGTGTTTTCACATTCCTAATTATTTATGATTGTTAAATACATTGTTTTATTTTTATGAATTTCTCATGAACTGCTTATACTCGTTCAAAATTATTTATTGTCCAATAGTTCTCTTCCAATTAATGGAAATTTTGAAATTGTATAAATTTCAAGTGATGAGCAAAATTGACAAGTTCAAAATACTAGTAGTTTTCATTGTATTATTAGGGTAGTACGAATATAGGATAAGCTCCTGGACCATAAAAACTATACATTACAAAAAAAAACGATTAATATTAACGATTCGGAGTCTTTTTGTTAAAAATATAGTATATATATAATAACTTGTTAATATAGAATAATAATAAATCGAAATCCTCAATTTAATACAAAAACAATTTGATTTTTTCGTAAGTTAATTTTAATACACTTAATACTATTGTCAGCACCAGTCTGCCATATATGTAAACTCTCTGAACAAATGTTGATCTTGTACGGATAATTGTCTGGGTTCTTTTGGTGGCGTCAGCTGCGGCCTTTCTGATGTAAATTCTTCGTCAAAATTGCTTACGTCTTCCATTGACTCCTACAAACAAAATACATATTAAAATTTACATACACAGAGTTGGAAGTAGCAGAACTCAACATTATTTTTATACTGAATGTTCTGCTTAAATGAAAGTGAGATTTTTACACATTTTACATCGACCACCACGCCATGGTAGGTTAATAGCCACGCAAGAAGTCTGATTATTTCGGTCAAAATTCGGAAACAGTATTTGGCCAGGTAATTTTTTGTATGTATAAAAACATCCTAACTTTCCAATACTTTTGATTTTCTGTTTTGCAAGCAAGATGTGAATAACGATTTTACGTGTGCTCCAGGCCCCTTTTTGAGGGTAACAACCTTATTTTTGTATCTTTTGTTTCTTCGTATATACACTGCCCCGCACAACTAACCGTACTCTTGAAATTCCGTAGTTTTCTCCTTTTAGTTTTGTTGAATTGTCCACAATATAAGTTAAATTTACTTAATAGTTTGTAATTTTAAACAGTTAAAAAGTTTAATTTTTTGTGACTTAAAAAAAGGTTTTACTAAGGTGCCCTCGATAAATCGAATACTTACTTAAAATAGTGCTTGTTAAATTGATTGTAATTCTTTTTAGTAGATGTTGGCTGCTTTTCGGGAAAGAAAAGTGCCTTTAATAATAATGAAAATTTTGTTATGAGACCAGTTCAAGTAGCGCAAGCACTTGCTCTTTTCACTACAAAGATTTTGAGAAACTGGTTCTTACTCAAGAAGACCAAGGAAAAGACTAATGAAAGTACAGGAAAGACCAAGGTCAACAAACGCCGGAAAAGATCGGTTTTTTAGACTTCAAGTGCTCCGAGAGCGGACAATTACTGCTACAGATTTGCTAGGAGACTGAAAACCAACGACTCTTGGTACCATAGTTTCACCTGAAACCGTACGTTGAAGTTTAAACGAACAAAATTTAACAGCTACTATACTCCTCTGCCTACTATATCAGTCTTTAATAGAATGCGTAAACTCTTTTGCAATCGTGATATCAATATAAAGTTACGAATACGAATGCTGCGGTGTTATGTCTTTTCTACCCTGTTATATGGAGTTGAGGCTTGGACACTAAAACAGTTGACCATAAAAAACATCGAAGCTTTCGAGATGTGGTGCTATAGGCGCATTCTCAGAATATCATGGATGGACCGCGTCACTAACACGCAAGTACTCCAAACTTTAGATAAAAGATGCGAAATTCTAAATGAGATAAAAACTAGAAAGATGGAATACTTGGGGCACATTGTGAGAGGTGAAAAGTACCAACTTTTAAGAAACATCATGCAGGGCCAAATTAAGGGCAAAAGAAGTGTGGGAAGAAGAAAAATATCGTGGCTTCGTAATCTACGTGAATAGTTCGGGTGTAGTTCGATTGAACTTTTTAGGCGCGCTGCTAACAAAGTCGCAGTGGCCATGATGATTTCCAATCTCCGCTAGGAGTGGCACGAGAAGAAGAAGATGATCCTCTGCTCTGCTACAGGTCCTTTATTGGACGTAGGTCATCAAAGACAACGGTTGAAATTCTGTCGTACTCATTCAGATTGGGATATGAAGGCAGGAGAAATGTGCTGTTGACAGACGAATCTTGTTTTACGAGATATTTACCTAAAGGTCGCCAAAGAGTGTGGAGAAGGCCTGGAGAACGTTATGCCCAGTGTTGCTTAACTCCTAGAATACAGTTGGTGGTGGAGATATAATTGTATGGTGCGGCATTTCTTTGGGAGCACATATAGATATTGTTATGTTAAAGGCAGGTAGCATTAATACTGATAGGTATATTAGGAATAGTCTTGAACATGGTTGAAGAACAGATGTTGGTTTTCAGTAACTAGCCTGGCCTCCTAGAGGTCCAGACATTAACCCAACTTAAGAAGAGTAGTTAGGCAAAGTGATGACCACTTTATAACTGTGGTAGCATTGTAACAGGCGCTAATAAATGAGTGAAAACAAATACTGTAATACGCGATTGCTGCTTTGATCAAATATATGCCATGAAAACTGAAAGCTGTTATTCGAGCTCGAGGAGGAAATACTCGATTTTAGTATCAATATTTTAGAAATTGTTTATGTTATATGTAAGCCAAATCAAGTGACGTTACTTTCATATTAAGACAGTTTAGTTAATAATATAAGAGACTAAATTTAGTTACGTTATCGAATTTAATATTAACGACAAAATTACTGGTACTGGAAAGAAAGATACTGCGGAATATCTATGGGCCTTGCAGAGAACAGACAACAGGAGAATGGAGAAGAAGACAAAATGAATTTCAGACAGTATATAGAGATGAAAACATAGTACGCTATGTTAAAGCAAACCGAATAAGATGGGCGGCCCACGTACTAAGATCGAGTGACGAAAGACTCCTGAACGCCACATTCTGCGAAAGGCCCGATGACAGAAGGTCAGTTGGTCGCCCAAGAAAGAGATGGAAGGACGCAGTAGCCAGTGATCTACGCAAAATGGAAATACAGCAATGGGAAATAGCTGCTCAGGACCGACAACAATGGAGGGAAATAGTAAACGCGTCCCAAGACTCACTTAGAGTTGTAGAGCCAAATGATGATGATGATGAATTTAATATTGAAAATCTTTTTTATAAATTTCATTATTCTTATGACTATTTTTAGCCTTTTACCATCATTTTAGATGGTTTTTAGAAAACCATCTATTTTTAGCCTTTTGAATTAAACCTTAGTCCGGTTCAAGTAAGTTGTATGTGTTGACCATTGTCATTGTTTGATTCTTGCTTGCTTTTACAGGTTGGTATATTTCAAGTGATGAGATGCGAGACATGGTTCTTGACAAAAAAAAACAAAGAGGGCAAAACTCTAAGGAAGATCTTTCATCCATGGATGATGGAAGAGCGATGGAATCGAGAGGTTTGGAGGAGGAGCATGCCTTGAACCAGGAGGATTGGCGGAGGAGAACGGGAATACGGCGATAATCGTCTCCAAAATGTATTGTATTTACAAGTTGGATCCTGTAATATATATATATATATATATATATATATATATATATATATATTTGATTCATCAACTAAAATGGTTTATAGCGATCCAGATACAAACACGAAATTTACCAAATGTTCGAAAGAAACTGTTGTAAAACAGTTTCAACCTATTTATAATATATAGTTATTATATATATATATATATATATATATATATATATATATATATATATATATTTGATTCATCAACTAAAATGGTTTATAGCGATCCAGATACAAACACGAAATTTACCAAATGTTCGAAAGAAACTGTTGTAAAACAGTTTCAACCTATTTATAATATTGTAATCATAGTTATTTTACCAACTGGTGCGCTCAGCTCTCGTGTTAATGTTTCTGCGACCGGCTTCCGCATGTTATCTCTCTCCACTCTCCACCACGTGGTATAGACAAGTGTGAAGTTGCCTTCCGGCATGAGAAGACCAGGTATATTGGTTCTTCTGTGTAATTCTTCTCACTCTCATTGGAGAGACGTAAAGTCTAAAGACAACCCTGCTGACATCCTCTCCACAGAAATGGTGCCCTCCAACATACTTAACTCCACTCTATAGTTTTCGGGGTCCTCAGTTTTTGCAAAAATTTTAGCTAAATATGTCTGAACATAGTCCGAAGTTTAATTCTGATAAATTACTTGAAGAAAGAAAAATTGTTCTTCACACCAGAAGCGCTGAATTAGATTTTTTCGTCATGCGTTCTAAAAGGTTCTCCATTTTTACGAAATATGTAAGGACTATAGCTTATGCTATAACTTAGGTCGTAAGCTAAGCTGATGACTTATCATCATTAAAAATACAATTGAAATTATCTGACGTTTTGAATATCATATTGTGGTGTTGGGTTTATTAAATTTTTTCTTGTATTAATTTATTATTAATTGTTTGAAATAATGAAATACAGTGTATGATTTGTAGTACCAATCAAATGATAACAAACTAAGATTCTAGATATTACTAAGATATTACTTAGATATACTTACCTTATATATATTTAAGCAATTTAAAAAAGAAATTGTTGAATATAAATAAAAACTTACCACTGTAGGTACAAAAGGTGGCGGGATTCTGCGATGTAACAATTCTTCCCACTGAATAAGTCTAAAGAACGCCTGTTTCTTTACGTCCTCTGCATCTCTCTCACTCGATCCTAACCTTCTATCGGGACTTTTTCGGAGTAACTAAAATTACAATAGTATTGATAACATTACGACATCGTGATATTTAAACAATATACTGATCTTAAAGGTATTTCACCGAATTATTGCCGGTATAAACAATCCCTCTCTTACTGATCAACGATTTTAGGCGGATGAGTTGGTAAGTGGAAGGGTACTCTTTTGTCCTGAGATTGATAAATCGGCTCCGAAGGCGAAAGAACCGGGGCTGAAGGAGCGACGGGGAACCACTGCATTAAAGACTCTTAACAGAGGCGTAACAGAGGCCCCAGGAGTAGCATAAAGATAGTGTGGGCCATCTTGTCGTCTAATATATCGCACCCTCAGTAATATAAGGGATCAACTCAAAATTTTGGTAAATTGAGATTTTAGATGCTATGGGCACAAAATTAAATTCTCTACCGGTTAGCGCTGACAGAGAGAGAAATAGGACATTAGTTGCTCGGTAAATATATTTGTGCCTCTCTCTTACTCTCCCCGCCAACCTATTGTTTTTACTGCTACAAGGTAACAATCAGTAACGTGTCCATAGTCGTCAAAGGCGGACTGTTCAAACGTCGTGCGATTCGTGTTTGTGCCCTTCTATGACAAAACTCCTGGTGAGTTTGTATCTTAACATTTTGTATTATATAGAACAATTTTTAGTTTAGCCGTTATATTATGTAAAATGTAATTAATAATTGGGTCTAATTCATAATAGCTCGCTATATTGCCAAAAAGTAGAGATGTTATACGGAATCATATCTTATTGGTTCATTATAGTACGTAAATTGTTTTATTGCTGATGGCGAACTTTGTAATTGGCCCTTATTTACATGAAAATTTTAACTATTTTTTTAATTGATCCGATTAAATTAACAGAAAAATAATTAACTTGTAGTTTTAAAACAGTGTTTATTACATAGATGCAATGTATTGTTTGTAGTGTAAAATTTTTACATTTTATTTTATTATATAATCCGAGTTCGTTTCTCAGCAAGGTACGTCTAAAGCCAATATTTCCATGCCATCCTTATCGAGATGCGATGAGTTGCCATCAGTTAGATCAAGAACAGTAGGTAATTACATAATGTCTTCAATACATTCAGAGGAAAGCGACGTAGACCTCAGTGATGACGATCCACTTACAAACAAGAGCATTTTCGTCGACGTCCACGGATCACAGCAACTCTAACTTCGATTGATACAAACAATGTAACTATGACAAATGATAACATTCAAAGACAATCCAGAAAACGTAAAGCAGATCCAACCAAATAGATACAAAACACGCAAAAAATGAAACGAAACTTGGGTCAAAGCTATGTAGCTATACATTCGGAGAAATTGGTTCCTGCACGTAATATGAAACCACCTTGTGTCCAAAAATGTAGATTAAAATGCAGTGAGCGAATCGATGATTCGAAAAGGTTGAAATTATTTAGTGCATTTTGGGCATTAGGGGATAGACAATTACAAGGAATGTATGTTTTGTCTAATAGCGCACAGATTACACCTAGGTACAAGTATACCAATGCCGAAAAACCACGAAATCCAAACCATGCATTCTATTTTTCCGTAGACAACGAAAGAGTTAGGGTATGCAAAAGCTTTTTTATTAATACTATTGATATTTCTCATAAGATGATTCGAAATGTACATGAAGATAATAGAAAAACTGGGCTTCATAAAGGATGACCAACGCGGCAAACACAATAGTCATAAAAGTGTAAGTGATGAGCTTATAAATGCCATCACCAACTTCATCAACCCTATACCCCGCATTGAGTCACATTATCTAAGAGCATCTACCTCTAGAGAGTACATCAGCAGTGGTAAAAGTATTGCAAGCTCTTTAGAGATTTTGAAGTACTGCAAGAGGAAAGGTCTCGCCCGGCTGGACTATATCACACGTTTTATGAAATTTTTAACACAAAATTTAACCTTGGCTTTTATCAACCCAAAAAAGATCAATGCGATCTTTGCCTGCAGTTCCAAAATCCTACTGAACCACTAAAACAGAATCTTAGGGATCAATATCATACGCATTTGGAAGAAAAGAAGTTATGCAGGGAGGAAAAAAAGAATGACAGAAAGAACATTGATGAGTGCACTATTTGTGTATGTTACGATGTACAAGCCATTATGCAAAGTCCTAACGGTGAAACATCAGCATTCTACTACAAATCTAAATTAAATCGTTACAATTTCACTATGACGAAATTAAAAAAAATTCACGAAAACGATGTGTCAACAATGGACATCTCTAAAGGCTATGACAATGTCCATTGTTATTTTTGGGACGAGACTCAAGCGAAAAGAGGCGCTACAGAGATAGAGAGCTGTGTTTTCCATTATTTACAGATTGTGTCTGATAAAGCTGGTGACAGGGAAGTAAATATAACATTTTTTTCGGATAACTGTTGTGGGCAAAACAAAAATAAATATCTCACATGCTTATACTTATACGCTGTTGCCAATCTAAAAAATTTGTCGTCGATAACTCACAAATATCTCATAAAAGGGCACACTCATAACGAAGCTGATAACGTGCATAGTTTGATACAAAAGCAGATAGCTAGAGATAGGAAAACTGGCCCAATATACTCTCCTGTTCAATAAATCTCAGCAATCAAAAGAGCAAGGAAAACTGGTGCTCCATTTATAGTTCACAGTTTAACTTACAATGTTTTTTACGATCTTCAGAAATTACAAGAAAATTGGGGCTATAATTTTAATACAGATGAACAGAAAAATAATCTTGTATGGAATAGTATTAAAGTACTGAAATTTACCAAAGAAGACCCATTTTCGTTTTATTACAAGTGCTCATATAACGATGAGTTTAAAATAGTTAATGTTCGTGATAAGTGGAAGAGAATGCCAAATATTAAAGAAATAACCATGCAGAAAACGTAACTCCAGGCACTTCCACTTCGTTGTGCTAAAAAGAATGATCTTAAGGATCTTATTAATAAACAATTGATAGATCCATACTATGCGTCTTATTATAACAACATGTTGTCTTAATATTACTAATCTTTGGGATTTCAACATTATTTTGTGTAGACTGAGTACATAGTCAAAGTACAATAATTAAGTTTTGAGACTGAATTTTATTTTTGAAGACTTTATTTTTTAGAATGAATTTTTTTGTTATGTGCAGTTTTCTAAGTTTAGAATGGAGGAATTAATGTTTTTTTGTTATGTATAATTTTTTAAGTTTACTGTGGAGATATTGTGATATACAATTAAGTAATAAGTAAACGACAATGTAAAAATTGAGGAGTTACTACTTGTAAGTTTTATTTGGAATTAAAAAGTTGAACTAATAAATGTGATAATATTAAAGCTATCTTATTATGTTTAACTCTTGTTTTGAATTTTTTTTAGATTATTGTTATATTTTGCACTGATTAATAAAGTATTACTATTATTTTACCTGATATTTTATTTATAAAACAGAAACAATAAATTCAAACATCGATTGGGATTGGTGATATAGAGTACCATTTACGATTAAAAATTAAACAGTGGCAGGTACACTAATAATATAAGGGATCAAACTTTAATAGTTCCTTATTTCTGTTATGGTTTTTTATACTATACGGGACTAACTCGAAAGTAGTTTTTTCCATTCCTTGTAATTAATAGAATTTATTTATATTATTATTTTTTCCTCATTGTAATTTTTAGTGCAGTTATCAAATAACAAATCTGCCAAATTTCATATTTATAACTTAAATAATACGCACGTTATTTGAAAAAATAGCTGTAATGTCAGATACCAGAATCTTTAAACGCGATTTCCCACAAATCTACTTTTTTGAATTGTGCCTCTATATTACTGAGGGTGCGATATGTAAAAATGTGTTGTTAAATTATTTTACGCATACATATGCAACGTTTTTAAGCAGAGTCTGTAAATCTTCACAAACTCGATTTAGCAAAAACGCGAACTGTTCTCATAACCCTAGGAGGTCTTCGTCATACAATACAATACATAGACGTAATGGATTTAGACAAGAGCCATGAGTTATGCCGATGCAGTACACAAGTTTACCTGTTATTTACAAGGTCATAGCTCTTGTTAAAATCCATTACCTATACCTCTAAGTTTAAATTTAAGAATGCAAATTTCTAAATAGGCATATTCGGCAAGTGCATCATCTCATATCTGCTCCTCCCAAAAACAGAAGCTTAATCCTTTCCGGTCTGTCGACCTTATATGACGACTATAAACTATAATGGTTTGTACGTGACTGTTGATGCTATGCTAAAACGCATTTCTAAATCTAGAAATGCGTTTTAAGTAAAAAATATTTCAGATATATACTTTTATGAATGGAAAATGTTTTATTTCGTTAGAGCTTACAATGAATTCGCTCTGAGGAAGCCAAGAGGCAGAAATATGCATATCAGCGAATGGTGGTGTACGCTGTAACGAAATTAAACATTAACTATTTATTTTTATTTTTATATTTTCTTTGTTTTCGAATGCTCCCGAAAAAAGGAAGCTTTGCTCCACCGTTCCATTTTTAAAGTTAAGTTTGGAACTTTATTTTAGTAATTGATTTTTTACCAACTTTGAGAGCATGTTTGTAGCACGTTTTTGGTTTCCTATGGTATTTTGCTTTGATCTCTAGTCTTTCCAGGAAAGCAGGAAGCTTTGTTCCACCAGATATTATTGAGACCAATGACAATCCTGGATCAGCACAGTTAGACCTAACGATTCAATACCAGACTACCAGCCGTTCAACTTCTAGTGTGCTCAGCAATAAACTACCAGCCTATACATTCAACTTATTTCATGTGGATCCGAGGAAGTAGTTAACTTTAGATAAATACCGCTAGATAATTGATTCATTTCATCTGTCGACTACCCATTGTATGCAAAATGTATATTTTGTTTTATTATAATTTACCAAATAATTTTTTTATATTACATATCATTAAATGAACTATCACCGATCTCGAGATAGTTAAGCACTTTTTTCTTTTTGTTCGATATATTTTTGAATCTAGTTTATTTAAGTTAATAGTCTATGGTTTGGTAAAGGTTGCATCTACTTCTTAAAACCTCTGATCTTGCTAGAATCAACTAAATCGTTGTAGTTTACAGATCGACCCGCAATTTTGAAAGGCGAGTTGATCTGTTTTTGTGGGCTTATATTTTAAGTGAGTTACAAAATAACGAAAAATAAACTTACCCTTCTCATAATTGCAATGGCTTCTAAAGACAGAAACCTTGGATACCGCACTTCGTCGTTCACTATCGAATCAAAAACTTCCTCTTCATCATCTCCAGGGAAAGGCGACTAAAAGTTTATATACAACTAAGTTAGTAGTGTGATATATACCTTATAGTACGGTCAGTATAAAATGATGGAGTAAACTCAATTGCCATTCAACCAAAGTTCAGTACAAGAATATAAAAGTTAGTTACACTAAACTCAACAACGGCTTAACCTTTTTTCATGATATTTGATTTATTGGATTTATCTTTGTACGGAATAGCAGAAAAAGCTTATCACGGGCAACGATGGTTATCCCCTATATAGTTGAAACGATTTTGTGCTCGAAAGTAAAAGGAAACGATTTTGTGCTAGGCAACATATGAATTCTTCCGTATTCGCCACTTCTATCCAAAGCTTTCAAGGCTCAATGCGACGTGGAATTTGGAACTCCGTAAAGTCTTAAACTTCTGCAGCGTATGCGTATGCTGATAACTGGTTTGTAAATTCTGCCTTTCGTTTCTTTCCCGATATTTTCATTTCTCCATATTGTTTCATTTAAGCGGCCTGCGGCTCTGTTTGCTATTCACTTGATCTTCCACTTCGGTTTCGAGCTTTCCGTAGCTAGATAATGTGATGCCTAGATATTTAAACTCCATCACTTGTTCTATTATCTGACCTTCCAACTCCAATTTACATCTTAGTGAATCTGCTGTTGTAACCATGCATTTTGTCTTTGTTGGGGAAATTAATATGTTAACTTTTCTGGCGGTTATATTAAATTGATGCAGCATACGTTGTAAATCATCTTCAGATTGAGCGAGTAGAATTGCGTCGTCTGCATAGCAGATTATTTTAAGTTGTTTTTTTCCCATTTGGTATCTTTTTTTTTGTTCTTACTTTTTTTTTATTATTTCATCCATAATCAGGTTGAACAATAGAGGACTCAGGGAATCTCCCTGCCTTATCCCATTTCCAGCTTCAATAGGGTCGGTTAGTTCTTCTTCTACTTTTACTTTTATTGTGTTGTTTTGGTAGATATTTTCGATCGTTTTGATTATTCCTAGGGGTATCTCCCTTGCATACAGTAAGTGGATAACGTCTTTTAATTTGATCTAGTCAAATGCCTTTGTAAGGTCCACGAAACATAGATATGCCGGCTTGTTGTATTCTAATGATTTCTCTTGCACTTGCCTCATTATAAATATAGCGTCGGTGCATGATCTTCCTGACCAAAAACCGTAAAAAATAGTTGTGTTTGGCGTTTAAAATACAAATACCAAAGATAAAATCACGCACTAGTAAGTTGGTAGATATGTGAGGTGAAATAAGGCGATTAGGCATATATTCTCATTCTCCATTTATGAAAGTCATCCCACTGTTGTACATTTCGCGGTGCATCTGGAGAACGGTTAACGAGTTTATTTTACTCTATCAGATGTTGCTCAACGTGCTGAATTACCTCCAGGTACAACATTGACCAGATTCTTTTAAAATTTTGACGAACTTTACTCTACTCTGAGATGCCGCGTTATTACACTTGGAACGCTACATCAAAGAAATTTCAACGTAGGAAGCAAGTCGAAACGGTTTCGGATCATCCAGATATTGGGAATACTTCTACTTGCGGTTATTGCTGGTGGATGTTCGTGGACCCATATCCTTTGAATCACTTTGAACTCAACTGTGTAGTATGTCCACATTATTACAGCATGCTTCCCATTTAATCGACGTGAACTGTGAAAAAAGTATAGTAGCCTCGTATTTCCGTGAGACTGTGCAAAAATATATGTATCTGTAATAAAATCATTCGACAAAAAGGTACTCTACCAGGAGTCTGTAAAATTATCAATGACTCAGACGTATAATAATACAAAGTTTCCAGATTCCACTCGATATTAACATTCAGACGTGCCTGGTATAATCTTTTAAAATATGAACCAGATATGAACAATCAACCAATTAAGTTTTCGTCGAACTTATGATAAGTCCACGTGGACTAACGGCCAATGAAAACGTCGGATATCGCTGTTATGACAAATCATAATGCATTATCTTTTGTCGGTAGACTTATTCATACTTGGGGTAAGATTATATCAGTATTTGACTGAGCTTACGGAGTCATAAAATAAGGGATCAGGTTTCGACCGTCCAGTGCCGAAGGCACGGGACGGGGAAAACTTAGGTAGGCAATTTTTATATTTTATTTTTAAATTGCGGATAGACAAGAATATTTTTAGTAAAATCATAACTGCTACAGCGTTCAGATAATTCAAATTTCAAATAGTGAATCACAAGTTAGTTTGGTAGTGACTTTTTTCAGTGTTCTTTTTACGGAAAACATTTGATATTTTACGTTTTTTACTTTTTTTTGGTACGTCTTTACGTGATTATGTTTTTATACGTTTGATAATTTTAAAATATTGCGTCCGTGGTGCGATAATAATTATGTAGCTGAAGAGACAATGAAACCCTCTAATCGATTGGAAGATTTACAAAGGCGTGTAGTAAAACGTAAGCGACATTTTCAATACCTTTCTGATGATGCCAAACGTATGCTAAAAAATGTTTATGAAGGGCTGTGTGCTGAATTGTCTAAATCAGAGGCAATTGCAGAAACATGTTTTTTAAACAGAGTGCCCAAAGCAACCTGCTACAAAATTATAGGAGAAACATCTTCTTCTAGACAGAAGAGAAAGGTTTGTGGCAAATTCAGAAAAATAGAACCGCACTTAATTGAATCTATAACTAGAACAATATACCAAATATATGCGGCTAATATTTTTCCAACTATCGAAAGCCTTCGAAGTGAATTAGTTCGAAAGTGCATTCTCTCGTGTTCAGCAACAACACTTCGATTATTTCTTAAAGCCAATAATTTTAAGTACAAAACTATAGACAAGAGACAGACATTAATGGAAAGTACTAGAATAATTTCTTTAAGAAACAATTATATCAGAGAGATAACTGAGTATCGAAAAATGAAACGAAATATTGTTTATTTAGATGAGACCTGGTATGATACTCATGACACCGTGAAAAAAAATTGGACAAATAATAACAAAAAGTGTTTTAACTCAGTACCGCCCAATAAAAGAAAGAGGATTATAATTTTACACTGCGGTGGAGAAAATGGATGGGTCGACGATGCATTATTAATATCTGCAAAACAAATTAAAAACGCGTCTCTGGATTATCATGACGATATGGAAAGTTCAATTTTTGAATCATGGTTTGAAAAATGTCTTCTTCCGAAATTACTTAAAGATAGTGTGATTATCATGGACAACGCATCATATCATTCAAGATTAATGAAAAAAACTTCAAATAATAGTTGGAATAAATTAAAAATTCAGGAATTTTTATTCACGGAAGATTTGTATTTTGAGACATCTTATATTAAAAAGCAATTGTTGGAGGTTGTTCATAGTAAACAGTACGAAAAGGAATATGTTGTTGACAACTGTGCTCGTAGTAACGGGCATACTGTGTTTAGACTTCCTCCTTATTATTGTACATTGAACCCAATAGAGTTAATATGGGCTCAACTGAAAGGAAATATAATGAGAAGAAACGTTGCTTCAAAATTTTTTGTCTACTGTTCTCCAGTTAATTAGAAGAGAAGTCACAAAAATTACAGCAACCAACTGGAAAAATGTAATAAAAATAAAACATGTGATCGGAGTGGAAAATGACTATGTTAAATATTTACCAGCATTACCCAAATTACCTATAAATTTAGATGATACGAGTGATACTAGTGTTAACAGTGATTCTGAGTAGATAGTAAGTACTTATTAGGTGTAAGTTGAAACCTTGATTTCTATTTTAATTTTAGATATTCTCATTTTGCTTATATATCTTTGAAAACAGGGTATAAACACACTTCTTGATAGAACAAAAATTATTAATGTTTTAGGGGAGTATGTCAACTGAAACTGTCACTGTCATTCTCGCTGAATAACTACTATTATTAACAATGTTTTATATAGATATTATTATTTTACAATAAGTTCTGTTCAGTCGAGTCGATTAGTGTTATCACTCCCAAGATATATCACAGAAGTTAAAAACACCGATATTTTTTATTTAAACTTTATAGAAAATGAAACTTTTTGGTAAATAAAATTAAATAAAAGTAAAAACTTTTATTTAATTTAAAATTAGATATCTACGCTACTGTTTTACTACTATGTACTACAATAAAGTAGTGGTAACTCTAACAGCGTTGCCATTTTACTAATATTTTGCTTGCTTTGGTCTCTGTAAATTTTCTCACGAAATTACGTGCCGACTATACAAGGATGATATCATATGACAACGAATTCGTGTCAGTTCAAGGCTTTGATTTTGATCAAAGACACGTGTTACGTCATGTGGCAATTTAGTATCCAAGTTTTGAATGCCAAATTCGTGAATTAAATGATGCTTTCAATCGAGAATTGGAACATGAAAATTAATATGATCGAGATGCATTGAAACAATTAGTTCAGACGAATGTAGAATCCCAAGTAGAAACAAGTTAAATAAGTCAATTGATGATGGAAATGGAGGGTTATTTTCCCTCGGTGCGCCCATTGAAACTGAGAAAACCTTGATAGACTTTACTACAGTTACAAAGTTGCAAAAAATACTACAGATACATTATTGGCAGTACAGTGACATACAGTACCCCATTAACTACAATTCAATAAAAATAAAACTTACTTCACCAACCAACATCTCGAATATGAGTACTCCTAAACCCCACCAATCGACGGCTCTAGTATACGACGTTTCTGTCAAAACTTCTGGCGCTAAAAATTCGGGCGTTCCACAGAATGTGCCCGTCCTATCGCCGAAGCCCATTCCTTCCTTGCACAATCCAAAATCTGCTATTTTTACGTAACCTTCCGTATCCAACAATAAATTGTCTAATTTCAAGTCCCTGTAGATGATTTTGTTCTCATGAAGATACTGCAATCCTGTAAGGAAAATGAGACGAGTTAAAAATGTAATACGAATAGAAATAATAAAATTAATTAGTTTTTAATTAAATCTTCACATATTCTAGAGGTCACCACATATGAGCAAAGCCATTAACTTTATGAACTGATTTTTATACTAAACTGTGAGCAACACTAAAGGACAGTGTTCTTTGACACTTTGTCTCAGGACCAGCAACCTCATGTAGAGTCTTACGTTGCCATGTTATCAATTCCGCTTGTAACTTTAACATCATAACATATAAAATCCAAAATTCCACGAGGAAACTAAGTTCCTGTAGCTGGCTGTATACCATATATCACAAAAAATTGTTTAAAATCCTTTATAAAAGGTATATAAAAATGCCCCAAACGAGCTATCACAAACACATTGCAAAACGTTTTCGGATTAATCGATCCATCATCAGTGCAAACCTGAAAGTATATAACCACTTTAATTAAAAAGAACGTTAAATTAAAATGTTGACAAAGGTTAGAGCAAAATGTGTTTAATACTTACGGTTGTACATGCTAGTAGCCACCAAAATACATGGGTCAAAACCCTGTAAATGTTTTAAATTTGTAGTTGTTTTACATTATTAGTAGTTATAATTTGTGATGTTTAAGTTACCGTTGGATAGGTAACATGGCGGCGTATGACTCTACATGAGTAAAATGGTCCTGAGACGAAGTGTCTACGAGGACCTGTTGATAACAACTGATCAAAATGACATTGTTGACATGTTAGGACGGATGTTGTGTCAGAGCAGTCAGTGTAACTTACGGTAGTTGTCTAAAAATGACAGATGTCAGCCGTATTTAAAATTGAAAAAGTTAAAATTATAATAATGTAACAGTATCAACCATCAATATTGTAATCTGTATTGTAAATTAATCAAATAGCTATATTTGAAACATTGAAAATTGGTTTTTTTAAAAATTAGTGTGGGTCAACTGGAATTTATGAAATTTTGTAGGATTGATAGGCAACCAACTATACATGTGTAAGGATCTATTTATTTTAAGCTAAAGATTTTGTCAAAAGGCCCTGTATGTTGTGAGACATTTGGTACCTAGAAAATGGTAAAAAGGCACATGTGAGAAGATGGGTCCTAAAAGATTTATTATTGAGTATTGATGTAGTAGGTGGAGGTGTGTTTAGATATGTTGTTGAGCTGAAATGTAAATATGATAAGAATGTGATTGTAATGTGGTGTTCGTGTAGTACTCAACTTAAAACTTAAGTATGGAAGACCCTCTATGTCAAAAAACTACATTTGGTACCTAGTAAAGATAAATAAAAAAATTTTAAGTTATAAGTACGTGAACATGAATTACTGGTTATGTGTGTAAAGTAAAGATGGTAGGTTGTTTATGTGTGTGGGCAAGTATGCCAGACTAACAGAAAATTGATGGCTGAAAGATGGTTAGGTGTGATATTGTTCCTACATTACTCAAGTCATAACTCAAGAAAACAAAAGGCCCTATATGTTAAAAGGAACATTTGGTGCCTAAGAAATATAAAAGTAAAAAGGGATGAGTTATAAGTTAGAGTGTAGGTAGGTGTAAAGTTAATAGGCTTATGGAGTGTATTGTGACAATATGTGGAACTGTAAGAGTAGTTGTGTTTAAGGTGGATCTATCAAGTTTACTAAAGATGTGTGAAAGACTGAAGACCCCAGAGACCCGAAAACGATTTAAATTCTCATCCTTCTCTTATCACCTACTAATCATCCTTAGCCCTCTCAAACTTTGTTCAATATATCCAACTCCCCTTCTTTCCTCACTTCTGTCTAGGCATCCAAACGTCAAATCTGACCTAATACCCAATATTCTCCATGCTCCTTCTCAACAAAATAAATTCAGAGCAGATCATGCCACTTCCTCTCCAAAAACAATTTTTTATTAATATACACCATCACCCACTCAACCACATATCTTCACCTTTTCATACTGCGTTTTTCATTTTCATTTACAACTTCTTTTTACTCATCCAATTTTCCTCAGGGTTTGGTTTTCGGGTCTCTGGGGTCTTCAGTCTTTTGTAGTTTTCCCCTTCATCTTCACAATAACATTTAAACATCACACATCTTTAGTAAACTTGATAGATCCACCTTAAACACAACTACTCTTACAGTTCCACATATTGTCACAATACACTCCATAAGCCTATTAACTTTACACCTACCTACACTCTAACTTATAACTCATCCCTTTTTACTTTTATATTTCTTAGGCACCAAATGTTCCTTTTAACATATAGGGCCTTTTGTTTTCTTGAGTTATAACTTGAGTAATGTAGGAACAATATCACACCTAACCATCTTTCAGCCATCAATTTTCTGTTAGTCTGGCATACTTGCCCACACACATAAACAACCTACCATCTTTACTTTACACACATAACCAGTAATTCATGTTCACGTACTTATAACTTAAATTTTTTTTATTTATCTTTACTAGGTACCAAATGTAGATTTTTGACATAGAGGGCCTTCCATACTTAAGTTTTAGGTTGAGTACTACACGAACACCACATTACAATCACATTCTTATCATATTTACATTTCAGCTCAACAACATATCTAAACACACCTCCATCTACTAAATCAATACTCAATAATAAATGTTTTAGGACCCATCTTCTCACATGTGCCTTTTTACCATTTTCTAGGTACCAAATGTCTCACAACATACAGGGCCTTTTGACAAAATCTTTAGCTTAAAATAAATAGATCCTTACACATGTATAGTTGGTTGCCTATCAATCCTACAAAATTTCATAAATTCCAGTTGACCCACACTAATTTAAAAAAAACCAATTTTCAATGTTTCAAATATAGCTATTTGATTAATTTACAATACAGATTACAATATTGATGGTTGATACTGTTACATTATTATAATTTTAACTTTTTCAATTTTAAATAAGGCTGACATCTGTCATTTTTAGACAACTACCGTAAGTTACACTGACTGCTCTGATACAACATCCGTCCTAACATGTCAACAATGTCATTTTGATCAGTTGTTATCAACAGGTCCTCGTAGACACTTCGTCTCAGGACCATTTTACTCATGTAGAGTCATACGCCGCCATGTTACCTATCCAACGGTAACTTAAACATCACAAATTATAACTACTAATAATGTAAAACAACTACAAATTTAAAACATTTACAGGGTTTTGACCCATGTATATTGGTGGCTACCAGCATGTACAACCGTAAGTATTAACCACATTTTGCTCTAACCTTTGTCAACATTTTAATATAACGTTCTTTTTAATTAAAGTGGTTATATACTTTCAGGTTTGCACTGATGATGGATTGATTAATCCGAAAACGTTTTGCAATGTGTTTGTGATAGTCCGTTTGGGGCATTTTTATATACCTTTTATAAAGGATTTTAAACAATTTTTTATATAAAATCCAAATCCAATAATGTAACCTAAATTTGGATTAATTTAACATTTAACAGGTTTTTACCCAAATATTTAGTGGCTCAAACATATACACCTAGACACAATGATGATGGAATATAGATTCCGAAAACGTTTTGTAATGTAGTCCGATTGGGTGTTTTAATTATATACCTTTTATAAAGGATTTTAAATAAATGATTTATTGTATTTCCTCTCTTGATTATGCTGAGTAATTCGTTTTGTTTGCCCATGCGCCGAAGTACCTCACCTTTGGTAACTTTTTGCACCCATGGAATTCTCAGCATCCGTCTGTATATATACATTTCAAAGGCATCTATTCTTTTTTCTGTTTCAGAGTTTATTGTCCGACTTTCACAGCCATACAGCAAAACAGAGAAAACGTAACATCTGATTATTCGAATTCAAAGCTCTACACTAAGATCTGATCTTGTAAAAAAATGTTTTCATGTCTGTCAGTGTTTTTCTCATTCTTCGATTCTTCCATCTTCTCTGATAGTATTTTACCTGTGTCATAATATGATATATCTTATTGAATAGGGCTGTTATCAAGTTGCTTTTACCTTCGCTGTATGCAATTCATTTCAGTATTTCGACATTGATATTGGCTGGACCCGGTGGCTTTTCCGTTCTTCTGGGCTTTTACTGCATCAATAACTTCTTTCTTTTGTTATTTTTTGACCTTTTTCATTTATTCGATAATCCGTGGAGAGTGGAGAACAAGGTCAATCATCGTCAAAAAGTGCCTGAATGTATTGTTTCCATCTCTTCAGTTTATCTTTTGTACTTATAATTATCCCGTTGTGTCTGTGTCTACCTCTCATTTCTTTCACTTTTTATGGACATTAAAGGTGTCTTTTTCAGTTTTCTTTACTTTCTCTGCACTTTTTTTAATGATTTTATTGACTCATTTTTATCCTATTGGTTTTGTTTTATGTCTTCGTCTTACGTCCATGAGGTCCATGATCGCTTGCGTTATCCATTCTTGTATCTTTGTTATTTTCGTTTTAACAGTCCATGTTACTTGAACGTCTGTCTGTGCCAAGTTCTCTAGCTTTGCTATTTCTTTTTCAACCTTGACACTTATTTCATTTTTTTTTCAGGGTTCTTCAGTTGTGAGATGACATTTTTCCCTTTTAACTTTAAGAAACGTTTTTAGTCTAAAATTCATTATAACTGAATTGTGATCGCTATGAATGCCAGCTCCAGGAAATGTTTTAGTAGATTTTATGTACTTCTTGAAGTTGTTATCGAGCAAAATGAAGTCAATTTGATTTTTGACAATTTTATCTTTTTTGTCCGCAGGTGATTTACAAGTGTATAGCTTTTTAGGATGTTTTTTAAAGTAGGTGTTGACTATTAACAGGTTGTTCTCTATGTAGAATTGTACCAGTCCATCTCCCCTCTTGTTTCTGGTACCGGGACCGTATGCACCTATGTTGTTTTTTTTTGTCAGTCACATTATTTCATCTATATTGTTATAAAACTTTCCAACTTCTTCCTCTGATTTGTCACTTGTTGGAGCATAGACCTGAAAAACATTTAAGTTTCTATGAGG